AGATGAACAATTTAGTGTTCCGAACTAACTATTTGGGAGCATTGTATTGACAATTTTAAGATCTTTAATCAAGAAAGAAACTGCATGGTCGAAATTTATAAGCTCAGAGAAACTGCTTCGTAAAAGTAATAAGTGGATAGGAAAATATGTAGCCCTTGTTCCCTGCGATCTAACTGAGTTTGTGCACGCCATGAAGTCAATATATAAAATAGTGAAAATTACTAATGGCCAAGAATTCAATTACTGTACTGTGCTGAAAATCTTTCTAGTTGAACAGGAGTCGACTTTTTGGTTAAGAAACTCATGCCAATGCTTTTAATTTCCTCATCCTTTGATCTCTTCCTTTGTCATCAAAGTAATGCTGTTTATGGGCTTTGTTAAAGATATTATCAATTCCATTCTTTCCTTCTCCAAACAACTCAATCTTTTGGAATGAATTATTTCTTAATATGGTATTAAAGACTTTTTGAACAGAGTTGGGAGTTCAAACTCTACTGCTCCTATTCTTTCAAGTAACTTAATTTCAGCAGAATGTATGATTGGCTTGTGCTTTATCCTTTGCTTCAAGCTGGACAAAATTTCACAAGGGGCCATGTTAAATATGTGCGCACGTGCGTATCAAAACCATTCCTCGGCGTTTACTCAATACCATGAGTTTTCAAGATAAAATGTGTTTTTGGCTAGCTAGAAATCCAATACATTCTAGTTTTAGGAACAAGTTACTTGGCATTTAAAAAGCTTTAGCACAATTGTCTGCTGAAGTTAAGTGTAGGAGGGTTTTCCCATCAGTAATTATGCATGTGGCTTAGATCCATTAATTATCAAAGTATTCCGTGATAGGGGTTTATTTTTTCTCTTTTAATTTTTTTTTTATAAATTAGTATCTAGCTCCTTACAGTTGTATTTATTTTAGAAGGAGCACGATGCTTGAACTTTATGATCTTTCTTTCCCGGCTATAGCAGTAAACTAGTGCTTGTTCTGACCTTTTGAATTTTTATCAAATCTTGACTTATCATGTCAAGTTGAAAAATTGTTCTGATCATGGCCCATCTCTGTCTCTGTTATATGTTATTGATTTTGGTTCCCTTATTCTTCTCCTTTTTTTTTTTGGGTTTCAGGAGGTTTTGCGTTGGATCAGAAATGTTGTTGAAGAGTTTGGAACTCCGCACATAAGTACAGAACAATTGAAAGACTATGTTCATAAAACATTAAATGGTGGTCAGGTAATGTAGTGACTCATATTCAATGAAGAATTTTAAGTCTATTATTATTCTGGCAAATGAATCTAGGATGGATGTTTTCAGTGAAGTGTGAACATACACTGTCCATTGCTACACACAAGACAAATCCGGAAGGAAATTCATTCAACTGTTCATTTTATCTGCATTAAAGGATTTGTTGGCTGACGGGCATTAAAGCACTTTGTGATATGCATCTGGAGCTATACATTTTGGTTTTTTCCTTGCCATAAGAATTTCTCAAATAGTACTATGTATCTGTTTGCACTTAAAGATTTTTTCCAAACTGAGATTTACTGTCTCATGATAAAATTTTTCTGTGGAGAACCTTTGGTAACTTGATAGGGTTGGCTGTTTTGCTTTTTGAATTAGCAGGTTATACCTGGATATGGACATGGAGTCTTACGCAAAACAGACCCAAGATACACATGCCAGAGGGAATTTGCATTGAAGCATCTGCCTGATGATCCACTGTTCCTGCTGGTTATATCACTTTTTTCCTAATTTGATTGTGTTAATTAGGGGTGCCTTCTTGTGGCAAAATCAAGGTCTATTTGCTACAAATCTGCTTGATTTAATTTTGATTTGTGATCACCGCAGGTATCCAAGCTGAAAGAGGTTGTGCCTCCCATTCTTACTCAGTTAGGCAAGGTAATGTCCTTATTTTTGAATGAATGTAAAAGAAAATCTTATAGAAGATATCATCTTATTTTTTATTGAATGCAAAATCATCTAGCCATCTGCTTCCAATTATGATAATTTTTGAATTGAATACTTGCTTGGCTGCTCAACATTGACAGAATAATACTTGTTTGTAAGGGTAATTGAAAACAGAACAGGCCTTGGACAATGTACGAGGATAAAAGGATTCCTAATTTAAACCTGAGCTTTTATTGCTTATTGTATTATAGGATTTTAGGTCTTTATTGAGTTGCTTAGAATTGTTGGTTTAGTCCCATCAACTCAAAAAAATCATAGTAAATATTTCTTGTGCATTGCTTTTAGGACCAAAATAAAAAAGCATTTCATCAAACAACAACAACAACAACAACAACAACAAGCCTTTGTCCCACTAGGTGGGGTCGGCTACATGGATTGCAAGACGCCATTGAATAATTATGTCTTGTGTCCTTGATTGTGTTGATAACATGTCCATCGTATGTGGGATGACTTGAATTCTGGTTTTTGGTCCTGTACTGCGTAGTCATTCAGTCCTTCCTTCCTCATCCCAGACAGACTATGAACGTCAGTCCAGTCTGGTTCTTTTGGTTATAAAACTTCAATTTTGTTGCATAGGCTGCTTTCTTTTCTTTTCTTTTCTTTTCTTTTTTCTCCCTGTTCTTTCTCTTGTAAGTAGATATCAAAGCTCTACTGGGTAGTTCCTGGCTACCAAGCATAGCATGTTCTTCTGATTGTTGACTTCACGGTTTTCAATGTTGCAGGTTAAGAATCCATGGCCTAATGTTGATGCTCACAGTGGAGTACTTTTGAACTACTTTGGCTTAACTGAGGAAAGGTAGGTGTCACTTCTATATGCTGTTCCGCTTGAGATATTTGTTATTATACAACTAATTTGAGGATGATTATAATGCACTTTATACATTTTGGACAGCTATTACACCGTTCTCTTTGGTGTATCAAGGAGTTTTGGAATTGGTCCTCAGGTTTGCCATTCTCTTCGGTCTCACTTGAGTCAACAACTATTCTTGTCCCCAAATTGTTTTAGCCCTTTTAGCTAACTTCCAAAGATTAGTGACTGCACTAGTTATCTCTACGAATACATCAAGTGACAGATATACCAAAGCTGGCAAAAGAAAAAGAAAAAAGAACATAGAGATACCATAAGGAGACTAAAGAAATACTCTCTCAGGTCCAAAATATAGAACATTTTTAACTACCTTCACTAGGATTAAGAAAAGTAGGTAAATGTGGTTTGTATAATTGAATGGGTAAAAAAAATTAGCACTACTTTTCAATTAAAATCAATATATCTTAATTACCTTTATTTTCTTTCTTATATGATCTCTCTCTACAGTATTAATTAGGGCATTTGTGGAAAAGAAAAATTTAATGTTCTATATTTTGAACTGGAAGGGGTATAATAACTTAGGAACCTGATTATTAATAGATTCTTTATTGCTGCCTCAAGTTTCTAAGAAAAAGTTGTTTCTGTGATTTTTTTTTTTTGATATAATGTTTCTGTGTATTTCAGCTGATATGGGACCGCGCCCTTGGGATGCCACTTGAAAGGCCCAAAAGTGTTACATTGGAGAGACTTGAGGAATTATCTGCAAAAGCCACATCATCTTGAAATATAAAACATGTCTTGTGAAGATGGAATTTCTCATGGGAGATGTGAGGTGGTATAAAATTGAAAATTTGGTTCAAATTCATTGAGGGATATTTTTTTCTCTGTTTAGGTGAGGTATCCAAAAGGTTTTGGATTTAGGTGTAAAAAAAATATGGGGGATTTTTCCCCCCACATGTTTAAGATAGCATCAAATAAAGGAATTACCGAAATGTTCTTGTTCTTGGTTTATTTACTTTTGTTATTGATCAACGAAACTTCCAGTTTTGTTTTCTAATAATCAATAATATGCCAGTTTTTTCATTTGTAACGTATGTTAAGTGGTTTATTTTATCTGTACATATCAAATGAAGAAGACATGGAAGTATGTAAGTTAATATTAAATGATAAATCACCATATGAATTTGGTCACTTAATTATTTTGTGAAAGACAAGGGCTAAAAAAGAAAATGTTGTAAAAGAAACAAGGAAAATAAAAAATAAGTTATTCTTACGTATGTGAAATGTTTTGTACAAATGTATGAGTATTAATGCTTAAAAAATTATATTAAATTTCACCACCAAATCTAAGTCTTTTATATGCATAAGATAAATGTACATTGTGTAATTAATTAGGAAGTGATGGGCAAAATCTTGCCAGAGGATTGAGCTGGTTCTTGGGACCTAGGCTTCTTAAAAATTGATTTGATAGCCCCACCTTGTAACCTACGTAAAACTTGAGAATCTATTGTGTGTATGTCTCCTTGGTCAAAATGTAAATTTCTTTCATAGTTATATATTCGTACTTTTATCCATTCTTGTTACATGACATTTTTAATTACCTGACAATAATTAAGTTATTTATTTTTATTTAAAATAAAATAAACTTTCAGTCTAATCCTTTTTTAAATAAAAATTTTTAAATTTATATTACATTCTCTCATTTTAATGAATTTAAAAAGAGATAATATTAAAAAAAATATAATTAACAATCCAGTGTTTTATACTAATGACCGTTAGAAGAAATATATATCAATTAAGGATTATTTATTATTAAAATTTAAATAAATAATTATCAATTTAGGTTAGTTTTTCATCAACAAATATTCATTTACTTTTTCCGTTTAAAAATGTAAGGTATTTTTAATCGAATTTCATTCCTCGATAAAATAGTTACCTACTTTTAAATTAACCCTATTTTTTATATTTACCTCAATTGAACACTCTATAGTAAATATAAAATAACTATCAATAAGGGTACTTTTTTAAAAAAATAATGATTATATCTCAAAAGACTTAAAATGTTTTATATTTTTTAACATTTAACTCTTTAAAAAATATTTTATATTTTTAAACGAGGGAGTAAGTTTCAGCAATAATTTATTATAAATTGATAACAATATTTTTTTTTTTTGGGACAATAATTCGCTGATCCTTCGTAGCTATTTTCCCCACGTAGAAAGAGGTTTTTGTTCACCACACGGGGAAAACTTCCGGGAAAAGACCCCGACGCTGACTCTCCTTACTGAGGGACGTTTTTATTCTCATACTTTAGAGCGACCATAACGAACAAATTTGGCAATAAAAGGAAAAAGGCTATGGATATAAATTTTGACTAGTGAGGTTTTGTTCTGGGTAATATTGAAGTGAAAACGAACACTTGAGTGAAATGGCTTCACTATCTGCTGCAAGACCAGCCAATCTGATGACGTTAGGGTTTTCTTCAAGAGCTTTAATCCCCACGATTAACGCTGTTAAACTATCTACCAGGGTTTCTTCTGCATCTTCCAGGCTCAGGTTTATTCATTTCCTCGTTGTCTTTTTGTTTTACCTCCCTTGCTTGTATAGATTTGTCTTCAGATTTCTCCCTTTTTCGTTTCTGGGTTCTTGATTTCAGGACCCCACACTGAAAAAAAACCTTCTCCCTCAATGGTTTTGTTTCCAAATCTTAACTTGCATTTCATCCGCTAATTCATGTCACAGTTACACTCTCTGCACACTGAATTGTCTATTTAAATATGCAGTGTTAGTTATGAGCATTATAATTGCCATTGTTCTTCATACTTGACTGGTTGGTGATAGAATTATTAGGAGACTGTAATACTTTTGCACTTCCTATTCATCTCCATGGACATAATCTCTTGGTCCATCATATATCTTGGAGTAAAAAAGAAAATGTGAGGCAATTGCATGTACGAGAATGTTGGGTTAGTTGCGTATGCAAAACAAATCAGGAAAATATCTGACACTCCATTTCCTTGATAAAAGTTTGAAACCATGCTGGAACATTTTTGAAGATCTTAATGTAAGTGAAGGATAAGGAAGGAGGCCAAAAGATGAACGAGAATTGTGCAGAACGAGAATTGTGGATGCTTGGGAGTCGGTGTTATTAATTGAAGATAAAAATATGGAAGTATAGGAAATGGAAAATTGGACATTTTTAATTCTCTTAGATATAATGAGAAAAGTCACTATCTTTGGTTTACTTGGATTGAAAGTTGAGGTCATTACCCCAGTGGCCTTACCAGATTGGGCTTTGAGCTTTTGTAAGTGCGAGGCGTCCTAATGACCAAGAACTTTTGAATTAAGGAACATTATGCTAAGTGGTCAAGCTGCATATTATTATTAGTTATATATCTCATCCGATGCTGAGCATCAGTGAGAGGGTATAGGTTTAAGTTGTTCCATATTTCTTTTGCTTGTAAGCGATGGCTGCAATGTCTTGCCTTGTTTTCTCAATTCTCAAGGACACCATCAAGAAATTGTGTTTGCAACCAAAAGTTGCTTTACATTTGAAGAACAACAACACAATCAGGTGTTTCTTCTGTTTACGTATGATCTCCAATAAGCTTGCATTTGTTTTTTGGGAACAAGTGAAAAAACAGATCATCAGCCTTGTGTCCAAAACAAGATTCTTTAAAGAGTGTGATGTTGGTACATGTGACACAATTAAACTGTTTATTCCTATGAGGAAATTTGCATTGCAGTTCTGCTAGAAGTTGGGCACTGAAATATTAGGATTTGAGTTTATATTACTTGCTTAAACTGTTAGTGCTTTTCAGCATTGTGATCCCTGCTGGTGGGATTTAATTTACGTTTCCATGAGTTGATAATTGTGAAGGTTTTAGATTTTAGAAGTTAACTAAGCAAACCTGCTGTCTGGGGCTGAGTGGTTTTGTGGAAAGAATGGCCATTTGTGACTACACTTCAAATCTAATACAAATCTCCTCTCAATATCACTAAAATTACACAGATACCTCTCTTAGTCTTAAAATTTACATGAACTTCCTTTGAAAACAAACTGTAAATTATGCATAATTGCACTTGAGTTTTGTTGAAATTATATTTAATTTTCCTCCATTTTCAAAATTTTACACCAACCTCCATTAGAAAAATACAAAAGGTCTGTAGCCTCTGCAAATTTAGGGAAAGCCTGTATCATTACTATTTGTCTTCAGAGAAAATTGTGCAAGTTTAGAAAATAGAAGAGATGTTTGTACAACATTTTGCTTTTAAAAAAGATTCGTGCAAGTTCAAAGGAGAAAAAAACTGAAAAAAGAAAATGAAAAAGTTCACGCAGCTTGAACAAAATTTAATGAAGACTGCTATATAATATAGTCCAACTTATATTCATTCTGGCCTTGCTTCTTGTCCATAGGTTTGATGGTCTCACAGGATCACAAATAAGTCAGAAGCAGGTCATAGTTTCTGCAACTAACTCTTCATCTGGTTCTGGCAATAGAAAGACAAGTAATGAAGAAGGTGGAAAACTAAGTAGTGGTGCAGAAGGGCCTCCTCTGCTTACAATTCTGGCAGGAGCCTTGGTCTTTCTGTTTTTCTGTTGGCTTATTGGATCCATTCTAACGTGGCTCATTAGTCTGATTGTCAATGTAGCTTCACCAAAATAGAGTTTCCTTTGCATCATCAAGCTTTATTTGTAATTATCAGTTTCGTTAACGTAGTTGGACATGACATGAAATGTCTTGGATCCAATGCATTTTAACTCTTCCTCTGTGGATTACACCATCACATCATATTCTGATTCCACTCGCTAATAGATAAAAGTAATTACTATTCTAGTTAACTCACTGGAACTTGCTGAATCACATGTGAAAGGTTCTCATACAAGTCTTCTATGTTGAGCAGACTTCTGTGTTCAATAAAAAGATTAAACTCCGACTTATCAAGACGGGAGTGAATCGTTACCATCCCCTTATCGGATTGGTGAAGGATATTAGAGTTATTATTAAAATAAATTAGAGGAAGCCAACAAAAGTTGATTCAACAAAAATGTGACTTATTTTTGAAGAGTATGGACTAGAATTCTGCTGTAGATGCGAAGGTTTTCATGGTAGGTAATTTGTAAGCATTTCTTTAAGTATGTAAATTAAAATTTAATTCAACTAAACCTTTTTTGAATCAGGATTTTTTTTGGATACAATTACTCATTATTTATGATTTATTTCTATGTAAAGTTGTTTTATCAAATGTTTATTAAAGAGACTACTTGGATACTCGATTAGACGACAAGTTTTCCTTACTCACTTTCGGAAGACATAGTTACGTTTCTCCACCTTGGAGAGGGCAAAAGAGGTAAAAAGGTTAGGCCTTAAGATCTTTTTTTTTTTTTAAAAAATAAACTTCCATACTAATTTTTTTTTTGTATTTTTATTAAGATTCTTTAATTAAATGTATAAATTTTACTTATAAGATGGCCAATACATATTTAAATTGAGACATACATTTATAAAACAACATCCAAGCAAGGTCATGCTTTAATTAAAGAACTATACTTTTTAGTCATCCGAAACTAAACAAGTATCATGTTGGTATTGAAAAATCATACGCTAAGTCTCCATTTTAATTAGAGTTTAACAACCAAGATATAGCCTAACTTCATATAAATGATCTCTTATAGAAAAAATCTCGATCTTAATCTTCTAAAAATGATTCCATAAAAATCGAGTCCCTCAGTTGTTCACAACTTCGCTTCATGCATGCTAGTATTTAAAAGTTTAATTTTGCTTCAACTTCATCTTTTCAAAATATAAGATCATAACACAATCTTTATCAAGGTGAGCACTTGTATTCTGGGTGTTAGAATGATAAAGAACGCTCTAGACCATAATGCAATAAAAAAGCATCATTCTTTCATTAAAATGGCATACATAAAAGAAATTATTTATTAAAAAAAAAAACTACGGAGTTTTATCGTCAGTTTGTGTCTTGTCTCCTACAGTAGTAAAATTACGCCTTTCCTCACAGGTCGCAGTTATAACTGGCATCCACACATCAGCTGTACCACTCAAGAGTGATTGCACTTGTGGATCTGCAGCCATGGCTGATGATATCATCTCATCCACATCATCTATTTTTGCTGACAATTTATCCAACTGTTCGGCTATTGCCAACTACATAGAGACAAGAGTTGAAAATAGAAACCTTAAATTTTAGCTAATTCAAAAGTAGAAATCACATTAACTCAAATCAAGTTAGGAACAGACTTTCAAGAGTTCTTTTGTGTATTTGTTTGCTATCAAATTCATATAACGTGGATTTTTTTTTTTTTTTTACTACTCACCATCTACTGTTGACTGTTTAAACAATAGCGAACAGTTAAAGAACCTTATTTAGGTTTCTTCCATCAAGTAACTAAGGAAGTATGGAGTGAAAATTACCTCATCAAGCGGCTGGGTTGAATTTGAAGGAACCTTTGTAACCTCCAATCCTAGAGCTTCAATTTTTGAGCGAAGTTCGACCTCTTCCTCATTCGTTAATGCTTCCACCTACACAGATTACCAAGAAATGCTTAAATCCCCTTCATGACTTTACAATATCTCACTGCAGAAGTATTACATCTAACTTTGTATAGCAAGGATCAGTAACGAATCATGTGGTGAAGGTGAACCAAACAAGAGATGCAAAAGATGTTGTATATTCATACGCAATCTTGATTCAAACTATAAAACACTAAACCATGAGCTGCAAATTGTATTATGACAATTATCTTTAAGACAAAAAGGTATGCTAATGCCAATAGAGACGACAACAAGCCTTATCTATAAGACAGGGTTAACTATTTTGATGCCAACAGAGAAAAGAAATTAAATTCAGAACAGAAAGCAGCGAATACAGTATACTGATAATTATTTGAAATGCACCATGAAATGCTATTCAATCATTTTGGGGCAGTATTGACACTAAAGAAGATTAGTAGCACGTACTGCAAAAATGCAGTTCATTGTTTTGATGTTATAAGGAGATATTGAAGATTTCATAATTCCAAATTCCAATCGAAAATCTTTAGACTTCTGCTATTGTTAACAAACATGATCCATATAATCAACAGCTTATTTCAAAGATTTTGCCAATTGCGCATCCTAAGCAGACATGCCAACGTGCAAGCTTATCTGCTTTCTGTCCCATATCATAGAATTGTGAGATTTGAAAACATCAATGTCTGATATACAAGCGGACATGCAGAACATGTAGATACTTGTTATTACTTAACAAGTGTCAAAGTGATATTGAAGGGCCATTGGGTCAATGCCAACAAATTGAGAACTAAGAGATGTCACAGTGCTGACTCATAATGATGCATAACACAGTTACGTTATTGGATATTTTAGCAATGCAGTCCCAAAAAGCAACCAGATAAAACAACAATGGGAACGCAATTCTGGTAATTCACTTGCATACTTAACACCCCTAATAAAAAATGGCCGTATAAAAATGATCATCATCAAATATCAATAAAAAAAAAAAAGAAATCTTCAGCTAGTATTCTGAAACAATTCCTCTACGCATGTCCTCTTTAAAAAGCATTCAAATTCAACTTTCCGTTAAACGGGATGGTAATATTGTAGACAGATCATAAATTTCAGAAAAAACGACACCTGGAAGCTTCGTTACCATGCCGAAGACGAAAATCATTGTTTCTCGTACAAAATCATTGAAATCCAATAGCATAGCGCAAGTACAAGAAAGTAAACCTAAGCAAATTCATAATCATATTTAGGGCCAAATTAATCAAAAGATTGGAGCAGTATACCTCCTGAACAAGAGTGGAAAGAAGCTGAAAGAGTTGAGCGTCGGGTTTGCCTTGTTCTGCCATGGATTTTGTCGATCTAAGAGAATTTAGATTCGGTATCTCGAAATCGATGATTTTATTCGGAGGGAGGCGCGTGGTTTCACGTCCCGCCTTCTCGGCTTGCTCCCGTTGTTGTAACGGATCGGAGGACGCAGTGGGGAGGCGTAACGGTGTCAAACTGTCAACGCTGACAACGCAGATACGTTACACATCCGTTCGCCAAAAAAGACAAAAAAAAGGAAAAGCATTGGGGAGAAGAACACGAGACTTAAATTATTTGGCAAAAGTCCCAAAAATTCCATTAAAATAAATATTGGGAAAATGGCAGTGAGGGTATGTAGAAGAAATTGAAAAAATAGCGAGGGCTCTAATAATTAAAAATTTATTTCATTATGTATAGATGAACCTTTAATTATTCAGAATTTTACTACTTTTTTTCTTCTTCTTTTAGGAATCCTTGTTGCCATTCTCCATAAAATATTTCATCCATCTCTCATTCTTCAGCATCAAATGTTAATATCTCCATAAGTGAAAAGACAAAAATTCCCTTTAAATAAATTGATAATGCTATGTTGGTTTTTTTTTAATATAGGAAAAATGTACTATTTAATTGTGAAAAATTTACATGCTTGGTTAATTTCCATAATAGAATGACAAACTTTCATGAAAAAATAATTAACCTAAAAGCTTGATGCATCTGACTTTGGTTTTTTAGGAAAAAAAATGTACTATTTTATTCTAGAAATTTACATGTCTCAGTATCTTCAAAATCGAAAGACAAGTTTTGCAAAAAAAGAAAATAAAATTAAAGATTCTCAAAGAGAACCAAAAATAAAAGATTTTTGCATATATTTGAGTCTCATGGTCATTCTCCCCAGTTACTCCCCCCAAGGGAAGAATGATAAAGAGATCTCAAAATAATCAATTAATTTAAATTAGATTTCAAGTGTCAAACTTCATAAATTTGTAACTCAATCTTTTAATTTTGCAATTGTATTGTGATGAATTTGTAACTTATTTTTTAAATTTTAACATGGTTGAAAAATTAAAAAAATAAGTTAAATTTTAACATGGTTGCAAAATTAAGAAATTAAATTGTAAATTTCTGAAATTTAACATTTAAAAATTAACTTAAATTAATTGGTACCTTAGAACTTCTTTGTCATTCTCCAAAAAAAAAAAACAAAAAACAAAAAGATACGTTACATATGTTACATATCTGAATGATGTCAAACGTTTAATATTTGTTGTAACGGATTAGAGAATAATGAAAAAAATACCAATGGATGAGCTATGAGGGGAACAAAGTCCCACATCAGGGAAAAAGGTAAGGAGGGTGAACACGTTTCATCTATACAACTGTGTTGCTTCTCGTACAGGCCTCATTCAAGATGCACAAGGAATATGGAGAAAAGTATTCATAAAAAAAATATTGGATTTCAACATTTTGTTGGAATCAATCTCATACATCCCTTAGTCAACGTTTTTTTCTTTCTTCTTTTTTGGTGATTCCCCACTGATGCAATCAATCTTATGTAACGATTATTCTAATTGCATTCTCTTTTGACACTATCAAAAAGATTAGAGATTTTATCTTAAAAAATTAAACTATCACACTTAATCACATTTTTAGAAAACAAAATAAATGTGTGAATTGACATGCCCCCGATAAACATAATATGGAGATTACAATTCTCAACCACCCTTATTAGGTAAAAGAAGATCCTAATTTTGAATATGAATAAGTTTGTTATTTGTCACATGAATTCATACGTGGCCATCTCTATTGAAAAAGAGAAGGTGGGAGAGGCTACCCTGATATACTTGTATGGACTCTACTTAGGAACTTTGGACATTAATTGTCATAAATCACCCAAATGTTGGACTTGAAAATATTCATCTGAAAAGGTTAAAAGTTGGTAAGATTTATAACTCATGAACCATCTAGTTCTCAACTAGTTTGTCTAGTCTTTGATCAGTTCTTAGTAGGTTTAGTTTTTTAAGTGTGTATTGGATTATATCAAGGGTCGATTTTCAATCTAATTAAATGAACTGATTGATTTAATAATATATTAATAAATATTATCATTCAGTTTTTAGATTTTTATTTGAGTCCAAGGTGTCCACTGACCCTTCGAGTAAAGTTGAGGTAAAAAAAAAAGTCCTTAACCTAATATTTTTTTTTAAAAAAACCAGACTGATTATTAAACCAGATAAGATACTAGTTCAAGGTTCAATAATCGAGCCATGGTTAGATCGGTTATAATCAAATTAGCCTAATAATTGATTTAATTTTACCCTTTTCTAATTTAATTAATGGTTCAGTTTTTTATCAAAAATTAATTCAACTTATTGGTTTTACTAGCCTTTGAGTTCATTGAGTGTCTAGTTTAAAGGATTGTACCAAATTCGATCAAAAACTGTTGTTTTAGTTCAGTTTTTAAAACCTTGAAGTTATTTTTTTTAACTAGAATGACAAAAATCCCATAAAAAGTAATTTCCATGAAAAAAGATTATTGTGTACATATCAAAAGCAAGTCAAATGAATCTCTTTTAAGTTACAAAGCTTTCAATCAAAAATAGACGTTCTTTAAATTAAAGGTATATAAGATTTGATTGGAAAACTAAAAATAAATTGACATTTATGATAAGGTCAAACATAATCGTGGGACTAGGAAATATTCATGCAAAGAAATTAACATTCAAATTGTTATTAGATGTGTTATAAATGACCATATCTTGTTTGAAATTATCTATATAATGTTTTTCCTTATTCTTTACATTCATATCCCTAAAGATATATACCAAAGAATTCTTGTTAGCCTTGTTTATAAATAAATACAAAAGACATGGAGCATTTCATGAGTGGTTGGACCAAAAGAGGGATTGCAATGGAAGCATCGACGATGAAGAAAGTGTTGATGGTGTTGATTATGGTGGTGAGAAGCATGCTCATGCTAGGACCACGTTTGGGGAGTGTGCATTTACCATCCCACTTACCCTTGCACGCTTCCCCAGTGTGTCACTGACTGCAAGAATGTTTTGAAAGATGAGTTTCAAAGTGCAAGTTGTGTCACTAATCCTCATAGACAACTCTTGCATTTGCTTAGGTTGACATGAATTCTCTCATGTCTTCGAATTGTATTGAATGCTTGTTTCCCAATCAATAAAATCGTCAAATCTTTTCTTATGGCACTTGCTTTCCTCAAGGCATTGTTTGATGATATGGGATTGACTTATACTAATTGTATTGGCCATTCATTTTCCTCATAAATCATAAAATCACAATTTGTTGAAGGAAGTCAGAAAGAAAACGTACAAGGTATGTTCCGGAGAGTGCAAGTTGTGTCCATAATTCCAAAGGAGACTTCAGCCCTTGCTTGGGCTGAAACTAGTGTTAAAGAAGATAGTTCCAGTCAAGGTTTGTGCATGTCTTTATTACTTGTTTATGTGTAAATCTGAATCGAAAGATAAGTGCATCAGCGCTAAAGTCAGAACAAAAGCGGCTACTCCAACAAAAGGGCGCTTCAAGTTGATCGCACAAGCCAGAAGTTTTTAACAAGGAAGCTCTCTACGTATATGGTATGATACAATTACATATTCATTGGATCTGATGCAAAATGCGGGTCCAATACTCTCAAAATACTGAGAGCCTAAACTATCTGATATTAATATAACATACAAATCAGCCTAATGTTTCCCATTCCCAGATGGATAATCTTTCCACCTAGGGACTCCAGCACTAAACGTCTTCTGTAACACATCAATCCTTTCAGTTAACACAGAATTCTTCAGCTCCTCCATTTCCGCATGTTCCTTTTCCATCAACAGCTCCAGTTCTTCGAAATGCTTTGTCTTGCGTTGCAATTTCTCAATCTAATTTGTCAAATGACCAAACAACCAGTAGTTAATCCCCACAGTGCCAATCATTCAATTCAAGAACCTATATGCCAGAGACTTCAATCAAACAATTTCTAGTCAAGTATCAAGAGTTGGATACATCCACCAAAAAAAGAAAGAAAGAAGAAAAACAGAACTTGGCTACCTGTGCTTCAATTATAGTTGCTACTAAATGTTCAATCTCTCTGTCTTCCTGATCGGCCAGCATCTTTGCACGAGCAGCAGCTGCTCCAAGAGCAGTTGCAATGGCAGCTCTTATCCGCAATGTCATGGGTATATCATCGTTCTTTGGGGATCTTTCATGCATATCTACAAAAGACAGCTTAATATACTTCTTTTCTCTTGACCTTTGTTGAAAAGCAATATCATTTTTATAATATAATTACATATACCTGAATGAATGGACCTCTCCACATCCGATCCTTCACCTTCAAGGACTCTAAAATAAATAACAATTGTAAAGAATTTATACGACAAAGGTACAGTGCAAGAGCAATTTACTTTTGCAAAATCGAAAGGATCAAACAACTTATAGACTAATGAAGAACCTTGCTGAATAACCATTCAGAGTGTTCAAGCCAGATTGGCTAGAAGCATAATCCTCATCAACATCAAACATCTCCCTGGGGCACATGTTCTCATCACAAAGTGCCATAATAGCAGCATCAGCTGCAGCAGCTGTGATATGAGGGTCAACCACGGTAGATATAAGTCCCACCTGATTAAAAACATCATTCAGTCACTATTGAACACAAAATAGGTAATAAACTCTCAATTAATAAGGAAAATTGCAACTGCATATCGGAAAAACTCAAGATATTATATGAATAATATTGAATATAAGCTCAAGATTATCTCTCACCTGCTTCATCAGTGAACTGCCAGAATCTGAAATTGCAGGGGTAGCAACACATTGTCTTTTTGAAGGACTTTCCTTCACAACATCCCCATTCGTCTCAGTCTCATCTTTATGCTCTGGAATTTGATCCTCTGTCTTGGAAGTTTCTTGGTGATCAGATGAAGATGACTGAACTTGCTTTGCACTGTTCACAATGCCATGAGCACTGTTACTGTTACCATTTCTATGAGCAGAGCCCAACATGAACTCCCCAAAGGGCAGCTCAATGAGTTTTGAGATACAATCAAGTTTAGTCTTGGTTTGAACATTTTGAGCAACAAGTTCCCAGTCATCCCCGTGTTTCAAAACAGATTCTAAAAGAAGTAGAATTTCTCCTTCCGTCCAGACAGCTTCATGTTTCCCACCATCTTCATTGGACTGGATTAATTTAAAATCACCTGAAGACCTTTTCTCCCCATATTTCCCATTTTCAAAACATTTCGCACAAACAATGAAATTATCCTGTCAAATTAAAATTAAAATCAGAATAACCATCCATAAATTTGTTGCTGTAAATTTAACTGAAACCGCAGATAGACAGAGATTAATCACATAATTTCACGCCTAACTTGAAGACAGACTCAGTTGTCCCTTTTCTTTTGGTCAAAACCTCCAATCTTTTAAGTCATTGAAAAGTCATTACAGCAGCTTAACCTCAGGAGCTTTGGTTCTCCACCCTGTTCCACGTTCCAATGACAAGAAAGAAAACCCAGGCAGCCATGGTTTCTACACCAATCCATATTTTTGGTCTAATACCTCACTCCTTCACTCAGTATCACTAATTAAGCTAGAGCAAAATAATTCAGAAAGGGGAAAGAGAAAATACTAACTATGACATTAACTGCTTATGTAGAACCAATGAAACAGGCATCACGCAAATAAAAGTTGGTAGACCTTATTTTTCACAATGATTGGAATCTTGGAAGTACATTGCAGGAAAAAATTAATAGAACTACAACTGCAGCAGCAAAATATATTTCATGATCTGTGCAGCAATGCTGAATGAGAGTAGAGCTCGCCGAGACAAAAAATATTAGCAATATATGACGATAATAGCTAAATGCACAAAAAATGACCCCAACCAAAATAAAAAATATGGTAAACTGAGACAAAAATTACCTGGGTACTTTTGTAGTGGCAAGAATCACATTTATTGCTGCAAATACCACAAGCCAACTCCTTTTGCCTTGTCATGTCCCTGTAAACATCGGAGTATGATGCCAATGGGGGCAATTTTAAACCAGAGCCAACTGCATTCCCACTAATCTTAGAGTTAGGCACTGAGATGGGTTTCAAAGAATTAGGCATTGCAACAACACGAATTCCATTCGGGGCTCCTTCCTCAATCTTAACCTTGCACTTCTCATCACCCTCCGGAATTAAATTTTCACCGCTATCATTCGAAGATGCACCATAATTAACCAACCCCCATTTTTCCAAGAAAAGAAAAACCTTGCGAAGCAAACTGACATCCCCCACCAATGATTTTCGTACCTCAGTGAATGTAAGCCTCTTGGAAGGCTCTTCTCTGTATTTACTAATGATGAAATCTCTATATTCCTTGTAGACCTTCGGTGTTCTTGAGATAGAGGTGCCATCGAAAAATTCTTTGAGAGATGTTTTCTCTGTCTCATGAATTTCATCCCACTGAAACCATCCTGTGAAAAATGATTTGATTAGTTAAAAAAGCATCTATTTTCATCAACAACAGCAAGGATAGAAACAAATAGAGGTGTGGGAATGGGCAGGTATTGTTTTAGCTAATGGTGGCAGAATGACTGAATGATCATATTAAGGTTGAGTCAAGAAGAGAGAGCAAAGGGAACAAGGAGAATGCTTACTAGAATGGCTTGGAATGGTATAGAGCTCAAGCTCTGAATCGTCAATGCCACTCGGGTTTGAATTTGGGTCTTGTGAGGCTTCCATATCTGTAGTGCAAGTGACCGAACCAAAATGATCTATGTTTCTGCCTGGTGAAGTTGTGATGACAGTTGTCACGCTCACAATACCAACCGAGACTGGCACAAAATGCAAGGTTAACCTTCCTTTGTAAGCCTAATCAATATATATATATTCCTAATTAATATTGGTAAAATAATAACAATAATAATAAAACAATTAGTCAACCAATTCAATAGAATATGCGAGTTACCGCCTCAATCTATAAATAATAAAAATAAAGAGATGATTATCTTTCCTATTGTTTGGAGCAATTATTGAATACAGCAAAACAATAATTCAAATTTATCATAACAATAAATACAACTACCTAGCAAATAAAGGGTCTATTTTACAATGCAAACAAAGGTGTTGAACGTTTCTATTATTTGGTATACAAATAACTAAATGATGTCTCATAATAAAGCTTGTTACTAAAATAATTAGAACAATATGCATAAGCATATATATCTCAAATCATGTTTATTTTCTCAAGATGAGAGGATAATACCTCAATAATTTAAATTATATAAAGCACTTCAAATACATAGACATGGATAAATGTTTACCAACACAATACTCACAACATAAAATGTGGAAAAGATATTTTATCAACGCATGTGAAACATATTTCACACTCATTATGGTAACAAATTAGACTTTGAAACAAAAAACATGGGATCAACTTATCCAAATATTTAGAATAAGAATTTCTTTTCAAAAATGATAATTAAGGGGGAAAACATTTTTTCTTGAAAACAAGTTCCAATAGAGAAATCCCCATAACACGAGATATCTATCATAAGCACACAGCCCACATGGATAAATAACCAATCACGAGATATCACATGTCGATCATAGTAGACTATGAGTATCATGTGTGAACACACAGTTCACAAAGGTAAGTAACAAATCCAACGCAACATGAAGCCACGAAAACCGGACAGGAGCATTAGCCTCATGAGAAACAAACACACTGTGTTTGGTTTGTCCATAAGTGTTCATAGGTATATCAAAAATCAACCCTTTAATATATGAAAAAGTTTATTGTAAAAGAATCTAAACAACATTCATAAACCCTTTTTTATCGAACTTACTCTTGTAGACTCATATATGCTTGTAAAAATGTTATAGTAATAAAGAGATTCTATTCATTATAAAAATTCTTGCAAAAATCTCAATTTCAAATATTCTTCAAATACTTGCTAAATCATGCTTTCAAATTCGTATCCAAGTACTTACTAAGGAATCTTTTAGTACGATGAGGCCCTCCTAAGCAATGGAAATTTATAATTTTGAAATAGAAGTAAATCAACATAGTTTGTAAGTCATACCACAATGATATAATTAAACACCACTTATAACAATATTGCAATAAAAGAAAATCCTCCTTTATGCATAAATATTCTACTATTTTCACCAGGTTCCTCCACTTTTTGTTCAAATACTTCATCATTCATTGATCACCATACTTCTTTGTCAAACTCTCTCTGTTCAACTATTCCCTTTCCTCTTTCAATTACATAATAACTGTCTTGAATTATCAAATACTCCCTCCATTTTCAAATATAGGAGAACTTAACTAGGTCACTTAAGAAAATTAGCTAATCTTAATAATTGTGTCTGAAATTGAAATGTTTGGACTAAAATGCCCTTGTAAATAATGTTTACTTTTTTCCTCTAATTTAATGATACTATCCATTTATGAGGGACTTAAAGAAACATGGGATAGTTTCTCTTGTATTTGAAAACGGAGCAGTATTTTACCAGGAAACAAGTCTAATGCAGTATAAGCTTTTCTTTTAAAATCTACTAACAGAAGTCTAATGCAGTATAAGCTTTTATTTTAAAATCTACTGACAGCTGATACAGAAAAAATAAGCAAGCATTCTAGATGTCTCACAAAAGTTCAAAGAGGAAAAATACTCAGTCTTATAATTTAATTTATTAAGTAGTTAGGCAAGATTCTCAGTTAAGGAACAAACATCTTTATTAATTTAACACCACTTATAACATTATGGTGCATGTGGAGTCAATAAGAACACCAACAATTAAACATACAACAAGTACCCTTGTTTGTCATCAAAGCAGAAGAAAAATATATGAGAACTAATTTCCTTCTTTACCAACAATTTTATTCTAGACTTTGATGTTCATTACAGGTCCAGCATCTCTAATGGCATGCCTGTATTAAAACTTAAAGTGATTCCAGTCTAAGAGCCAAATATTATTTCCTTCATGTAACACAGATTTATAATCTGACATTGAGTCAAGTAGAGCTTGAATGTCCTATAATAGGATATACCATGTTGTAAAGCACAACTCACCTAAATTAGAAAACCAAGCCAAAAACCTTAATGGGAGCTATAGGATCAGCATTTCAAGATATCAACCCCCTCTTATATCTCAAACTCATATATACCCTGCAACTCATCATTCTAATTAAATTCATTTCGTTTAGAAGCATTCAAGCTTGTGCATTCAGTGCTTTAGTTTCACTCACAATTGTGATTTCGCCCAAATGAAATTGAGAAAGTATTTTTCTTTTAAGCTCAAGACTAAAGCACTAAAACAATGATATTTTATTGAGACATGCAAGCATGAAATGAACTAAACTATCATTTAAATTAAAACTTTATAACCATCAGGAGCTTAACTTCATAACAGGGATAAAATCTGAAACCCTCAGTACGTGGACTGTCATTGGATAAGGTATAGTTATTTTCTTACCTTAAACCTTTCATCAAACATCTTGCATGCATTCAAAATGAAACTATACAACAACATCTTACTCTTTAAATCTCTTACCCAACAATTTCCAATATCAAATTTTAAATTTACAAAACTTCTCAAATCCCATTCCTTCAACTAAAATTATTTAAACTCAAAGAAAAACCAAATCTAAACCCTTATTCCTCATGCAGCCACCAAAGAAAATACAATAGTTGCCTACCAAAAGTGAGCTTCCTAATCTTCAATTTAAGCTTGTTAGAACATTCAACAAAGAAGCAAAATCTCAAAATTTCAGCAGTTCCCCAATCACAATACACTCTCAAATCTGATGAGGAAGAGAAAGGATGGAACTTGGCTCACCAATTAAGCAAAGAGGAACGAAGAGAAGAAATCTAAACTCCCTCCACTAGAAATGCAACGAGGGAACAGCGAGAAGAAGAAGAAGGGTCTGCGACACGAAGCAGGGGTGGAGGAACAAGAGCCTGCAAGTCCCGACGGTAACCTTCAATAGAAGCGAACCTAACTCCTTCGTTTACACACCCACCAGCAACAAAAAGGAAGAAGGATCGCAGCTCGGTGTCCACACAGTGGGGCGACGACAGAACAAGGAGGGAGAAGAGGAAATCGACGCAAACCAGAGAAAACAGAGGAATCCGCAAATTTGACAGCGTCCCCTAGCAGCAACGACCGGAAAAACTCTCGCTCACCCACTCAAACACCAGCGACGAGACGGAAGAGTGGCGAATAACAAGTCCTCAAAGCTCCTCCCACTCTCTCAACAGATTCCCCAATGTGGAAACGGGGGAGAGTGGGAAACATCGGATGCGCTTCATTTTATGTAGGTAATTTCCCATGCCAGGAGAAAAAAATAGGTTGAATTATTCACGTGCTCTAACTTTATATAATTTTTTAATTTTATAAAATATTTTTAATTTTTTAATTTTAAATGATAATCTTTTAAGTAAATTATCATTATTTTAAAAAATTAAATTTAATATATCAATATTTAAAATATTTTATTAATATTTAAAAATTTAATGTAAGAATTTTTTATTGATAAAATTAATAATATCAAGATTAAAAAATTGAAAAAATATTATAAAATTAAAAAATTAAAATAAAATTTTGTATAAAATTAAAAAAATTATAAACATAATTTAACCAAAAAAAATAAAATCTCACAAAATAAAATCACATTCACTACAAGGATTCAATCTAGATCTCAAAGCAAACGTTAAAAGAGTTTCCATTAAACTACAAGTGGAGCATATTGCCTTATAAAAATAGAGCAATGTTGCCCTTAATATTAAGAGAGAGAAAAATCTGTTATCTATATGTGTGGGCCCCACAAGCATGTATACATGGCATGCGCTTAGCATCAGCTTGGAAAAAAAAACAATGGGATTCCATGCTTTACATGCCAATCGCTCTTAACTTGCTCTCCTACTTCTTCTCCAACTCGGTCTCGCCATCATCTCTTCTTCCTAAAGGTGGAACACCTTTCGTGCACGAGAAGCACTCCCATCTTCGATGGTTAGGTTTGGATGGACATGAAAAGGGCATGACGAAAACTGCAATTGAACTCGACACCATTTTAGAAGAGTGGTTGGAAGAGCTCCGACGCAAGGGAGCCTCTGGAGATCATAGAGGGGATAAAAACTTTATGTAAGCATCATGCTCCCTGTGTTCTAGAAGATGATAGTTTGCTTCACACTTCACACTCTACATTCGTGCCTATAAGTAGACTAATATTTTCTGGAGGTAATTCTACTTCCAGAGATTCATAATAGCTAGAGTCCATATCCATAGTGTAGGAAAAAACAAAACAAAAAACAGTGAGTTATTGAGTAGACAACATATAAATCCGATGATTGGGTAGGGATGAGGGAGCAATTTAATTTTTATTAATTAAATTAATAAATATGTATTCATAAATTGTTAGTGACTCGGTTTTGGACTCATGCGAGTTAAGAGCTATTAAAGCATGGAATTAATATAGAGGGAGAGAGAGACGTTGAGTTGGAGAAGTAGTCAGGCTTGTAATGATGCAAAGAGACAGAATGTCCCCCCTTTAAATTTCTATATAGTTTTCCAGGCTTGTAAGGGACTTATAATTTATGTAGAATTTATAATAAAAATTATATATGAATATAAAATTCTTAATAAAAAAAATGGGTGTTAGATATGTTATAAAATTTAAATAAACATAAACAAAAATTATATTAACTAATTTATGTCTTATTTCATTAATTTTTTTATACCTACGTGTTTGAAATATTATCTTAGTAAACTTACTCCATTCATTTAAAAATATAAAATATTTTTAAAGATTATTTTTTAGGGTTTGGATGTTAAAAAATATAAGACATTTTTAATTTTTAAAGGTGTAATTATTTTATAGTTAAACACCCAATTAAATAGTAAATATAGAAATATGGTGTTAATTTTAAAACAAATAACTCCTTTATTAAAAAAATGAGATGTAATTAAAAATAAATTATATCTTATTCCCGTACATTGCATAGGTTATAAATTTTAAAATAAAATATTCTACTTAAATTTAAATTTTATAATTTAATATATACATATATAATAAATTTTAGAATAAAATATTCTACTAAATTTTGATATGGACAGCAAATTATAAAAAATATAAATTACAAGAAAATTTTTTAAATAAACTCATCTTTTGTACAATATTTCCCTTCAACTTTTGAAAATAGTATAATTTAACCCTTGATATTAACAAAAATAAATTTGATAATTATTTGATTAAAAAAAACCTTAAAAAATTACGATGCAATATATTGTTATTTATTTTTATTTTCTAATCGTATTAAAATTTTTTTCTTACTTTTTTTTCATTGTCTTCAAATTGAATAAAACGTTAAACTTACGTGCATCTTACGGGATTAAAATCTAGTTTCTATATAGTTTTCTAGGCTAAAACCAAGTGGAGCCACATATACATGTTTGTAGGGCCCACACCTCTAGATAACATGTTTTCTCTCTCACAAAGAAAGGGCTAACATTATTTCATTTTTATGACTTTAAAGGAAACATTGCTCTACTTAAAAGTTTAAAATACTCAATGCTCCTTTTCAAATAGTTGAAGGAGCAAAATACCCTTTAACGTTTTTGTTAAATACAACAAGAATAAAGATATGCAATAATAATGAACCAAATTATCCTTGATAATAATATTAGTTCTCATTATACTAGTTGATACTTAATAACAAATTAATAAATATTATCATTTAATCTATCTATCTACCTACTTATATTGTAAAATCTACCAATATTACTATAGAACAACAATTCTTTGAACAATAAACGGCAAGACCCAATTTTTTTATTTAATTTCTCTACTTGTATAGTGGTAGGCCTCGGCTTTTTTCATTTTCTTACATGTAAAGCAATGGGTGAATGGCCCCATTTTTTAAACAAATATACCCTCTATTTTAATTAGCGTTTGACATCTTTTTTATTTTTATGGTAATTTTTTAATTATGTTAAGGGCAAAAATGTAAGGAAGTTTTCTCAAAAGAGCACTCAGTGCCCTTATCTTTTAGAAGTAACAATGTTGCCTTAGAAGTATTAAAAGTGAAGCAATATCACGCTTTTCAAACCTTTGATCAATGTTTGACTAATGGTTAACCAAAAAATGAAAGAAAAGTCTGACGTGGCAAGCCATGTGGTAACTCAAAAATAGTCCCAAATACGATGCTCAATCCATACACAATGCTCGCTGAAATATAGAAGAAGGAGAGGTAGAGCTAGGCTATATGATTGGGAAGACCAAGTATCAGTAATGGCATGTGGTGCTATAGAAGAATCTTTTGGCATTTGGAAGAAGGGACTAAGAAAGAGTAAGTATTGTCATCCATAGAAGTTGCAGACTTTTTGTTATGTTGTTTTAAGTTTATGCAAATGTTAGAGATATTTCATTGGGTCAAAAGAGGAAGAAAAAGCATCTATGTACTTGTGAGTGTATTCAAACTACATCACCAGAGGCACAAATTATAACTTGGAAGTGTGATTTTTTTTTTTCAAATGGACTTGATAGCATAGCAACCAAACCAATAAAACATGAATATTTGAATTTCTACCTACATAATGTACAAGGTGATAGAGAGGGGGGAGAGAGAGATCACTACAAAACATGAATATTTGAATTCCCTTCTTCAAATTCGATGGTCATTTTTGGATTTGAAGACTTTTCCTTCATCCTTACAAATCTTACCAGTACCATTCATTCGCTCTAGCTTTGCTAGATCCAGTTTCCATGCAACACTAATTCTACTCAAATTCCACTTCTATGCCACACTGAAGCTTGATAGTCCAATCTAGATCGCCCATAACAAAGGCAAGATCAAGATGAGGACTAACACCTAAAGCCTAGAGCAGCTGAGCGAGATTAAGAAGTGCCATGTGAGATCAATGAAGAGCCAAGATCCACTCATTAAGAGGAGTTCGGCCTTGGCATGACTTGCTAGGAGTTTGGCCATTTGAGATTGAGAGGAGTGAGAAAGGAAGGAGAGCATGTAAGGGAGGGAGATCAAAATTGTGGAGTGCCACTTATTTAAGCCAGGTGTTGTGTCATATGACTCAGTTAGTCAACATTAGTCAAATGTTAAAAAATGGTGACATTGCTCCATTTTTAATACTTCAAAGGCAATATTACTCTTATTAAAATATAAGGATATTAAGTGTTCCTTTAAGAAAAAACTTTTAGGACATTTTTGCCCTTCAACCTAATAAAAAATAAAAGATTATAACAATTTTATAATAAAAAAGTGGGTATGGGACTCACAGGAAAAATGAGTGGTAAATATGAAATCAATATTAAAAAAATTCTTTTCAAACTATAATATATGATAGCCACGTATGCCATGTCCTTCTCCACCTCCATGAACACCATGCATGTCGTGTCCTTCTCTACCTGTAACATCCTCAACTTTAAATCAAGATTAATTAAGTTTAAATAGACTAATTAAGTGGATTTGTGAGGTGTGTGGCCAAAGAGGCCTAACGGGTGTGTTTGGTCTCGATTTCAGTTCTAAACACAGGTCCTGAAAGAGAATCAAGTCACTCAAGAATGGAAGAGGAAGAATTTCTGAAAGAAGTAATTTTGTGCCACGCGCCGCAGCTTGTAGTTGCTTTGCTGTGGCACATGTGTGACAACACGCCTGGAAGAGGCTTCTGTGCCATGCATTGCGGTACATTGTACGTCCGCTGCGACGTATGGCTAGAATTTTGTAGTATTAAGTCGTGAACCTGAAGTAGAAGAGAAGAGAAAAACAAAAGAAACCGAAAGAGTAATGAAAGAGCTAAGCTAAGACTTGAAGAAACTAATTATTGGGAGTAAATTATAGCTCATAAACACCAAAGGTAAGCTTCCTTACTTAAATCTTCCTCTCTTCTTCCATTTTCTTGATGGTAGAGGTTAGGGTTTGATTGTTAATGGTGATTTTCGGTCCATAAAAGTTATGGGTTCGAACCCATTGACTTAAATAGAGTTAATATGTGTAGATTGAGCTAAGTAAATTTGGTATTTATCATTTTATGATGATTGGTGGTTGGAGGACATTAAATGTCCAAAATTCTCATAAATTTGATGGTTGGGAATAATGTGATTTCATTAATGCTCATTTAAGAGCTTAATGTTATTAATGAGAGTTAAAGGAAGTTAAGAAGTCTTATGGGTACTTTTACATGAGTCAAGAATAAATCTTGAGTATTAAGAAACGGTGAAATGTTAGTGAAAAATAGCTCAAAAAATGGATATTTATGTTTTGCCTAGTAAATGCTTGTAGTGTAACTACCATTGCACCATTCAAG